GTATATTAATCTGCCCAAACACCGCCCAAATATCTTAACATTTTTTTCGGATATCCGATATACAGGGTAGTAAGAGGATCTTACTATGGGTGTTTACTTAAATTTGGCGGTGACAATGAATGTGTTGAACCTATATTTAAACATTCTACTGATTTCTAGCCATGTACATGGCTAGAAATCAGTAGAATGTTTGTCAATGTTTTACTTTTAGCACTCTTTTTGTAACATAACCTGATTACGTAGAAGATGGTTTTTATTTCCTTTTGTCCTGTAAACCATATTCTACGTAATCAGGTTATCATATTTCAATGACAAAATGGAGAATTTCTTCGTAACATTATTTTTTTAGGTTAAATGTTTGCAAAATGAGAATATAATATCGAAATAAATATGATAGTTATTTTTAGTTAAATGTTATGGAGAAAAACCATTACGAAGTTCTAAGAAGTATTTTCTTATGGACGATTTCGGAAATACGTATTTCAAGCAAAAATGAGCAAATTTGCTACATTTTTGGAAGGAAATATCTTATTGTGCAAGTTGTAATTTTTTGAACTTTTAAAATGATTTATTTTTCAAAATTATGCATAAATCAATGACAATTAATTGTATTTTGGAACTTCAAACTTGTTTCTGATTACCCAAAAGCTGGTAAAGTTTGTCTTTTATACGCTCTTGGGATGTTTTTATAACCAATCATAATTCATAAGTTCATAACATACAGAATCACATGGAATCCAAAGGCGAAAAAATAGGTGAACTCGTTTTCTACACCAAATTCGACGGAAATTTTAAATTTTGATTTGAGAGAAGCAAAACACAATTTCAAATACAATAAAACGGACATAATTGTCGATTATGGCTTTCAGGAAATTAAACATTTTTTTTATGCCCTTGGTAAAAAATTACCAACTAGTGACGAATTTGGTCTTACGACTTTTATTACTTTTTGTTTTTCTACAAGTATAGCAAAAATTATTATTAACAAAATGTTGCACAGCGAATTAAAAAAAACACAAATTACAAACATTGCTAAATTTTTAAGAACTTGTAAAATTTGTACACACTAATGTAATAATTTGTGTTGTAACATATGGCTTTACTTTTGAACGCTTGAACCTTTTTCGCATTAAGTGATTTGTTGTTTGGCGGTTGAAGCAGATTAAATTATAAACGCACTGGGACTAGCTCCTCGATTCGACTTTTTATTTCTTTTTATCAACGAAGGTAGGCCGCCTTGTCCCTTAAGACAAACTTTCAAGCATTAGGTTTCAGCGAAAAAAAGTTGTTCGAAAGAGAAAAATAAAATTTGTCGTTGAAACACACAATTTCCATGTATGTAGGTACTGGAATGGCTTTTGACTTATCTTATTGCTTTAAATTTTGGCTATAAATATAAATCATGTTATTTTCGACTTACGAAAGACTTTGACCTTAGTAATAAATTGAATCGACCGTAATAAATTGTTTAATTACTACAAAGTCTACAAAGAAGGCGCCTCGACGATATTGCTGCAACTCTCCAGCTTCCAGATAAGCACTGTTCCGGAGAACCGAGTCGGAATGTAGCGTCCAACCGACTAAACCATTGAGTGTTTTAGTCGACAAGAAGAAAATCAATTTACAAAAATGCTTTTTGTTCATTAGTCGAGAAAGTTTCACATTTGCGGACCTTTGCTTTGTTTAAATTATTAGATTCGGTCTAAAACATATTCCATGCTTTAATAGTTGAACAGCTCGCGTCAATAAACGAACTAATGGGAATCGTTAATCAACGGTGCTTCATTTGCATGTTAATAATTTATTACAGTTAGGAGCTTAATTGTTTCTCGTGCAAACATACTCCTATCTGCGCCATATTTATACGAAGTGGAGGATTATGTGAGGACAGTTCAAAGGGACGTTTGGATTTTTCTCTAACCTTGAACTCGTTGGTCTCGTGTGTTGGTTGCTAGCAGAGCTTGGAGAGGAAAAGGATCGATGCTTCAGCATCCATTGTCGATACGCATATAATACGAAGAGAACCTCATGGCACGCTTCAAATAACACTTTACTCTCTTAAAATATTAGCAAATTTTAATTAAACTTGTGTTTTCATAACACGAAACCGAAAGCCAAGTGTTTGAGACCCCCCCCCCCCCAATTCAATTCATTATAGTATTTAATTTTAATTTGTTGGGGAAGCTATTGAATTTTTTTAATTTATAAGTTTGATTAAAATAACGTTTTATTTGTTTCTGAAAATTACGCTTTGGGTTGATTGCGGAATAAATGCTTAATTGTTTATTCGGACCAAATTATGTTGTGGCAAATTCCGATAAAATTTCATTTTATCTAGAACAAAAGGAGAAAATGAAAACTGTTGAACTTGATTTAAAGCTCCAGGGAGGATTCAGCAAATATTTTTTCATGAATTTGTTTAACCGTGCCTGTGAAGACAGTGAAGGAGTAATTGTTTCATAAATTGTCTACTTTTCTGGTACAAGGCGTTGTAACAAAATAATGCTTTGATTCAACTTTGCGTTTAATATAAGAGACGTAATAAGCTTTCAATTACAAGCTAGCAAAAGCTTTGTATCTGGTAAAGTCACACTAATAATAAACCTAATTGTAATTATTGCTACATACAATTTCAACAAAGATATAACATTTCATTATTGTACTTGAATTTTTAGATTAGAAACATAAAAAAATATGTACTTATTTCACGAATTAGAAACGTTGAGTAAAAAAAATGTAGTTTACCTACTAATAATGTTTTGTTGTAAAATTAAACTCACTGTTTCAATAATTATGAAATAATTTCAGCAAGAAAAAGATGTTTATTTTCTAAAGTAGATTTTAAATTTTTTTACAAAAATAATATTACTAAATTAAATAAATAATAAGGAATGAAAAACGTCGATTCCACATCAAAAGTTTAAATACAGTTTATTACATAACGCACAAGTGGGGAGTTTTTGCACGAGGCGTTAGCCGAGCGAGTTATGTACACTATTTTTCACACAGCCCCGCAACCTCATCATGACAAAAAAACATCATTATTTTCAATGAAACGATTTAATGTTTCTCTTAAAGATCTAAGATTGACAGTTATTAAATTAGGCTATTAATGTTGAGAGATCAAGATAATTTGTAATCGAGTCATCTTTGGATCCGAAAACGTATGTCTGTTTTTGAACTAACTGCACGTGAAACGTCAAATAAAATGACAAGTCGAAAAGTAAAACGGCAAAATGGGCTAAAATTAATCGCCGACATATAATAGTAGGAAATAGGACCACTCTTTTTTGAACGTAAATCATGCCATTTAACCTTTCGGCTTGACATTTCACAGACATACATTTTCAGATCCAAGGATGACTCGATTACAAATTATCTTGATCTCTCGAAATTAAATACTTTTTTGCTGATTTAGGTTTAAATAGTCGGTGGTTTTATTTATAAAACTTTGCTTCAGTTTTGAAAAACGGAGAAAATAAAAAATAAAAGCAATGCACTTGGCCAACAAACAGCAAATCACGCGCAATTTGCCATTTGCTCTCCGCAAATCGCACAACCTCCTACGTTATTTTCATAACACACACGTGTGGTTAGGAGAATAACCGATTCGTTCGATATCGCTAACTTTCGTAGGTAATTCTCTGTATGGAAACAGTTACTTTCGTATACGGTCGTGGGAAAAATTAATTACGTAGGTGGCAATTTATTAATTTATTATTAACTTTTGATGTGGGATTGATGTTTTTCCTTTTTTTTATAAATACAAGGTGAATAAAAAGTAGGTATGGAACCAAGAGGTTTTTTTCGTAAACTAACTAATTTACGAAAAAAATAATTTGTATAGCGTAAAGTACAATTAAAATGTGCCTGTTAATCAATGAACAAAAACTCGATTAAACCCGTCACACCAAACATTTAATTTTATTCTCACCTGAGGATGACCACTTTGTGGTTGAAACGCGTCGTGTTTGAAAAAAAGTGTGGTGTGACGGGTTTAATCGTGTTTTTGTTCATCGTTTCCATACCAAGAGGAGACAACAGGAATTTGGAAAATTTTTATTCTTGAAAAACGATCACATTTTTATATTACTTTACATTGCACTAATTTTTTTCGTAAAGTAATGAGTTTATGCAAAAAACGATTGGTTCCATACTTTTTATTCACCTTGTATAAAATGCCCACTTAATTAAATTAGATCGATCTTTTAGTAAGAAACTTGGTAGTAGCTTTTTTGCTAATGTTTAGTGACATTTTTATTAGAACAAATTAAATGCCCGAACTGCCAACACGTTTTATTAAAATTACTGTCAACTTTTTAGGTGGTACCTGTTTGATATTTGTGTTTAAAAAGCATTTTTACAAAATATCCAGGAATAAATTCATTTTAACACAAAATCGTGATGCAATGCAAAATGCATAAAAGCACTTTTAATTCACTAAAATGTATGCATTCGTGTTTGTTTTCATCAATTGTGTTTCCTTTCACATTGTGAAAAGCTTTGATGTAACGTGGAAAAATGTTTCTAAAATTATTTGCATTTTAAGTTGTTGGGCGCAAAAATAATATCCCGTTTGGAAATAAGAGAATTGTATCACTAAAAATCGATAATTCGTGATTAAATAAATTACAGCTTGGAGTATAATAATTAGCAAATTACAGGCGACAATTTTGGAATTTTCTAAATTAAAAACCCTTAATGTGGCAGAATTACATAACTTCCAATTGAAGTATCAAAGTTCCGCAATCCGAATCAAAGTGTACAGAGCGGCAATTTTAATTTTAGATGAAATCGTCGGTAAAACGGAAACATTTGGAAAGCTGGTACGCATCACGTCCCACGAAGACACCGAGCAACTCACTGTTAAAAATTCAAGCCGTTTTGAGAATCAGTGTTAAAATAATAAGCAAATCACGATGTCAGACTCAGACTTGGTCGCGGCGGAGTCGTGCCGGAGTTCGCCGTTAGACATTGAGGGCGATTTCGTTTGGTGGGGGTCCTCCACGTGGCGGGCAACATACCCTGGGGCACGCTAGAACATGGCGTGATGTCCACTGCCAAACGACTGGTGCTGAGTTGGCGGGGCCGAAAGCAGTCACATGATAGTTCGGTCGGGCGGCTAGTGGGACATGGCGGAGGCAGCGCCCTGGGCCCCGGGGACAACCACGAGCTTGATGAGATCGCTGTCGTATCCAGTAATGCCGATCCTTGTCACGTCAAGTATGGCAGTGGAACTACACTATCCACCATCAATGGGCCCAGACTCGTTCCGGGTAAGTGACCACATGCAAATTGTTACATTTTTTGGGTTAGCTCACTTGAGGATTCAGTTTGCAACGAATCAATAACCGGAATCAAGCCGAATTACGCCCAGTAATCTTGAACAAAAGGAAATTCGCAATCTTTGTTATTAAACTGGACTTCGGTTTCAGATAGCACAAATACGTTTTGGTAAAATAAAATAAATAGTAGTGGCCACAAATTGTGTCTTTTAACTAAGAATACGAAATTTTTGTGAATATGGTTGATTTTAAGTTGGCAAGATATAAAAACTAATTTTGAGAGAATTCGAGAAAACAAAACAGAAGTACGCAAATTTTTTATTGTTATGCTCTTTATGATTTCAAAACGTTTGTCGTTTGATTTTGAAAAAAAAAATAGTTTTTTTAATTTTTCATAACCAGATACAGGGTGCACTAGAACTCATGCCCCAAAGAAAAATTTCAAAAAAGATAAGATACTATAGTGTGTTTTTTTTTAGAACGAAGTAGATGGCATCAGCATCGGCCGCCCCATTTACACAATACAATTCTTAGAATTCTTAGAAAATTAGGTATAGGAACATGAAAAAAATGTTTAAAAAATTCAAAAATTTGACATTTATTTTTTGACATTTGACATTTTTTTATGTTTATTTAATGATACTGATGATCTTGTATATCTTTTTTTTACAATTATTTAATAAAGGTAAAAAAAAATGGCAATAAAAGCCACAAATAACATCGAACAGAGTTACAATTTAGGATACAGCTTCCTTGTTTCCTCTTCTAATAACCTGTAGCAAAAAAAAAACTTGGAAAGTTTTTATAGATATTTTTTTACATTTTTTTCATGTTTCTGGTATCTTACATTATATGGCATTTTTCACTGGGGCGCGAGTTCTGGCGCACCCGGTATAATGTAATAAAAATGTTCGGGAAACTAGAAAAATAAGGCATAGGAAGTATTGGAAACTATTTAAAAAAATGACCTTTAAAGATTTTCTTACATTTGATTTTATTTTATTTTTATTTATTCTATTTATTTTTATTTATTGGTACCCTTCATATCACTACCTACATGTTTTTTTACGTTTTTTTAATTAAAAACATTGACCATAAAAGCCACAAATAACGCATCAAATAGAATTTTAGGCTAGGATTCTTGAATTGGTTTTAGACTTCTTCTATCACATCACATTTTTTAACAATTCAAGGAATAATAATGTAATTTATAACAAAATTATTTTTAAATTAGTTTCACATTATAAAACCTACTCGTAACCTAAAGTAATCATTCTATTAAGAAAAAATATAAATTAGGATTTTTTTTTATTTTTTGCAAAAAAATTTAAGCGCTCTTTTTAACACCCAACTGTAGTCAGCCATCATATTTATATTCCAACCCCTCTGTTTTTTACCCTCTGTTTTCTTTTTTTTATCTCGGTTTTTGATATATTAAGTATGTTCAGACTTGTTTAAAATTAATGCAAATAAAGGAATCTGCTGTAATTTTGTAAGTGTAACATTTTGTCTTTTATTTTTGACATTATTGAAAAACTGCACACTATACGCAAAACGATTTTCATTTCTAAACTTCGCTCACAAAATACTATAAAAGGATCTAACAATATTTCAAACGTCGAAACAAATCAGTAATAATTACAATTCCAAATACATATTACGTTGCAATAATAAAATATGTAATGTAAAATCTAAAACACAGATATTTAACGCACTTGGGCTACTAAAAATAATAAGAAAGTTGTACATGAAAGGAAAAGCGGGTCAAAAAAATAAAGAGTCAATATACAGGGTGTTTCAGCAAATTGGTAACGTTCATTATTGACTTTTGAATGTTGAAATAAAAAAAATATACACGCTGTTCCGACTAAACCTCACATTAGAAATATTGGCAGTTCTAACAATGATATTTATCTAAAATTTTGTTTATAGCCATAATCGGTTAGGTCCTGCTTAAAATTGATAAAATTTTATAATACACAAAAACAAAGACAGCTAGAAAAAATGTTTTTAAAACTAATACAGATAGGAAAAAAAATACTACTGCAAAGAAGAAAGTACAGTCGCGGCCCTTGAAAACTAAGACATTCACTTTTGGTATACTATTTGCTATTTTAAAAATTTGTAAAGTGTAAATTAGGTTTTCATCTAGGATGACAATGTCAATTTCAATTTTTCGGATTGGGATGGTGCTGCAATAAAATATTAGTTATTTCTGTCTACAAACTTGAAGTTCATTGTTTTGAAGTAAAGTTTTCTATTCTACGACACCGACTCGTAATTATTTGAATGACATTTTAGAATTTTCAGTTTCAGGCCATTTTACAATGCAAAATTTTGGATTTGTCAAATTGTCTTAGTTTTCAACGGCCGCGACTGTACACGGTGCTGCATTTTGGATGTCCGAATAGGGAATCTCCGAAACTAAAAGGTTTAGCCAAAAACGAGTAATACATTTTGGGGCTCATTTTTTGAGGAAATAATATTGGTTAAAACCGCTTCCCGTTATCGTCTTTTGTTCTCGACTTATAGAAAAAAATTGACATTTTAGCGAAATCTAAATACCTTCGTTATTATAGAAGGTACAGATTTGAAATAAAGACATTATACAGGCACTTTTTTACGAAGAATTTAATAATGTACTTAACAATTTTTTTCAGTTGTTTGTTTAGCGGTAATAAAATAAACTTGTATTTTTTTAAATGGGAATCTTAGATGGCTAAGTCATTTTTAAAAAGCTTGTTTTTTTCTTATCTAAAAAATATATATTTGTAACAAATTATTATATTACATTTTTAGCAAAAAATTATCTTTGAGTTTTGTTCGCAGTTGGCCATGAAAAAATGTTGCATCTTCAACCAAAAGGATTTAAACTATATTATATTCAACCAGTGTCACTAATGAAAGACTTTTCTAAGTACTAAGTAATAAAAAAGATGCAAAATAAATAGTAAATCAACTTATTGGCGACTAATAACATTTCTTTGTTTTTAAACAAGCTAACATTACCATTGCAACTTCTAGTGATACATAGAGTGTTGTAAAAAAAGCCGCTTTGATTCTTCAATAACATATATTTTATATGACACAAAAATGACGATATGGCTTTTCAAATACCCAAATTCCGTCTATGTGGAACGTTATCCTACCTCCATTAGATCATCAAAAAAATGTTTTTTCTAATTGTGTTGACTGTTGACACATTTGTTTTTCCTATTTTTGGATTTTTTTAAAATATGTAATAATTTTGTTCTGAGGCACTCGGATATTTGTTCAATGCTACCGTATAGTGTTTTTTAAATCTTTATAATTTGATCTATTTTTTCATCTATTTTACAGTTCACAAAACTCTTATTTATTATTATTTACACATTTGGAGTGAAATAGTTTTTTCATGGCCAACTGCGAACAAAAATCAATTTTTTGCTAAAAATGTATTATAATATTTTGTTACAAATATATATTTTTTAGAACAGAAAAAAATAAGCTTTTCAAAATTGCCATAACCGCCTATGATTTCCATTTAAAAAAATACAAGTTTATCTTATTACGGCTAAACTAATAACTGAAAAAAATTGTTAACTACATTATTAAATTTCTCGTAAAAAAGTGCCTGTATAATGTCTTTATTTCAAATCCGTATCTTCTATAATAACGAAGATATATATAATATATATAATTTTTTTTAGATTTCGCCAAAATGTCAACTTTTGTCTGTAAGTCGAAAACTAAAGACGATAGCGGGATACGGTTTTAACCAATATTATTTTCTCAAAAAATGAGCCCCAGAATGTATCACTCGTTTTTGGCTAAACCTCTTAGTTTCGGAGATTCCCTATTCGGACATGCAAAATGCAGCACCCTGTACACACTTTAAGGGTATAACAGTTTTTAATTGCATTTGTAAAGACAAAAGATGTAGAATTTTGTAAAAACTTAAATAGTTTAAATGAATCACCCTATTTTTTGTTTTTGCAACTACATAATAGATTGTTAAATTGTCTATTTAAAAACATACTTTTAAATGTTTTAAATCTGAATAAATAGGGTCTAGAGTGTTCCATTTAAAAAATTTAAATATTGAGCTTTTAATAAAACTTCTTAATTTTTTTATCTTTACAAACTTAACACACAAAAAAATGTTATAGCTTTTAAGTTTCTTCTATTTTCTTTGCAGTAACAAAGCTGTCTTAATTCTAAAAGACTGATGTGCTTCGGGGCTGTAGCCCATTTAGCCCTTTAGTTAGGGTAATGTTAGAAAAAAATATATGTGAAACACAGGAAGAAAGTTTTTTCTGCCTCTTTATTTTACTCGACTTCAGCGTGGTCTTCTTGGGACAAAAAAGCAACTTTATTCTCTTGTTACACAGTTAACTATTACCAACTAAAATAAGTGGGGTCAAATGTCCAAAATTTAAACTCCGTGCTTCCTGTGATTTTACAATAGTGTATCACAAAGCTGTTTCGGGAATTTTTGGACAAAAGTAAATACCTGCAATGCACTAAAGTTCCGCTGTTTAGATTACATTTAAATAAAACTTTAAAACTACAGTCGTAAACATCAAGATAGAAATAAATGCGAACAGTTTTTCAAACTAAATATTTCATACTGCAAAAACATTCACATGTTAAATCAAATGTTTGAACAACGTTCCGCTTTGTTGAAGGTACAAATACGCTCTTTGCAACCTGAAAACTTCTTTTTCATTAACTTGTCTGAAACGTTTTGGTTATGGTACTTTAAATTTTAAATTTTTTCACGCTGTTAAGTTTTATCGCGTTGGTTGAACGTGCTTGTTGACTAGTAAAGGAAGTTTCCAGAGTTATTGTCACTGATGATTCCAAAAATTAATCGTAAATTTCATCTGACTTTCCTGTAATCAAGTTGGAAGTGGGAATTTACCAGCCAAACAATTACACTAATAAATAGATGATGCAGATATCCTTTTGCAGTTAAATTTCTATTAATGAGAAATCGTTTAACCAAATTA